TGTAATCATTCATAAGATGAAAGTCAGAATAGACTTAAAAAGTTCCTTTTCCTACAAAATTTAAAAGGATATAAAAAAATCGAAGTGTAATGCAAATTTTGGATATTGTCTGTCAGTATTGACACAATATAAGTATGAAAATATTGATTCTGTAGAAAGAGATGATGGTTGCGTCAAAATATTGACAGCGGACAATGGTGATTTTGTCACAGGTATAATACTGAAGCAAATTCTCTATGTATGATGATTCATGGGAAGAGAACGTTGAGGATTCATGCCAGAAAATTAATTCCCAATGCCCGATGGTTTGTAACACCAGCCATCTTCAACTTGCAATTAAAACTCATTGTTGGCGTGGCGTGGATCAATCACTAGTATAAAAATAGATAGTTAGTTGTAACCAAAAGGTCGTCACACTTATGCAATATTTTTGTCCGAAGCATGAGAGGACAATCAAATACTAGGACAATTCAATGGCAATCCTGCATACTGATCACCCAATAGAATTTACCTACTATGGGTTAATTAATAATAGGTTAATACTAAGAAATTGGTTAATTAGGATAGTTGAAAATACCTCACCTGCTTATTGTACATTATTAGCAAAGTAAGCTGGCCTTTTATATTAAAATAAATATAATTATCATGAATCAATCAATTATAAACAAAGAATATGTTCGTTTCGATAAATAATAAAAAAATTTTTTTATGTTTTGTTTATTTATTAAATAAATAATCTGTTGAATGATAAATTACAGGGATTCAAATTTTTTTTTTTATTTATAAAAATTGGAAATAATAAACTATTAAATGATAAGTTACAGAGATTCAAATTCTTATATATCGGTTAATCCTAATTGTATTGAATCTTGCCTTCTCACTTATCCCGTTAAACAAATCATAAAGGTATAAGAAATATATCTAACATACCAGCTGTATTTAAAATTAACCTAATAGTGGGAGTCGGTGGTTGTAGCTGAGCTTGAGCCCTTCATTTTTTTACCAGCCACCATATAATACCACAAACTATAATAAATAACAAGGGTCCTCCTATTTAAGAGTTAATGAAATTGAACTGGAATTAGAATTTGAATCTGAATCTGAATCTGAATTTTTGTTTATGTTTATTGTATTCGTATTCGTATTTAAGTTTGAATTTTAACTCCTTAATAAAAAAAAAGTGATGAGTATGAGAAACGATATTGGAAACAATTTTTGGACATACATACCCTCCTCCACCATTGATGTTTACTGGATGATTTTCAATTTCACAATCGGATTCATATTTTGCTGGCTCATCCACAGGAATATTACAAGCATTTCCGCAAGTAACCATATTATTATAAATACTTGACTGCACATGCAGCTTGGAAATGTCCACATATCTGAAAAACAAAATAAATAATAAGAAAAGTTTTCATCATTTTTACTATAGAGAGAGGTTTTTTTATTAGAATGTAATGTCCTCTTTATGAACGTAATTTTTTGTTCTAAAAAAGAATAACGATAGAGAAAAACTAAAATAATGGTAATACAAAACATCAAAAATATCAAAAAACGCCCTATTTGGGTTTACTTACCATACAAGCAGGAATTTAAAGTCCGTAACTTTTCTCAAAGCCGCCTT